CCGCCTCCCGCCCCGCCCCGCCCGGCGCCGCCGTACACCGCCGCCGCGCCTACCCCTGCCTCCTGCACCTGCTACCATGGCACCGCCGGGACTCCTCCCCACTGCTTCCACCTCGACAATGGTTTCCCCAACCCCGCCGGCTTCGCCACCAGCCACTCCTTCATCCACAATAATCATAGGAGACAGCTACACGGGCGAGCCTACGAGCAAGACCTCGACGACGCTGGCGGTGGAAGACCACGGATGTGAGGGCGCTTGGAAGGCCGCGGTGCCGCGATTAAGTCATGAGGACCGCGGCGGCAGCAGTCAAAATCTTCATGAAGTCTCTCCGCTTACCCTCCCTCGGTCTGATTTCTCTCCAATCTTTGAATCCCCTCAGTTTGAACTAATGCCATGTATTTTCTGAACAGTTAGTGAATCATTTGTCAGTTGAAAGATGGTTGATGCACCAAAAAAGATTGTATTGATTCAATCTGGAAAAGTCAAGATCACAATAGCAATTACATATGCATTTGTTGGGCCAAAAGTAGCAGTTACATATGCATTTAGTTAATCTTTTGGCCTATCACCGTTTCATGCATTTTTTTGTGGACTTTCATTTGACCTTGAGTGTTGACTTGCTTTTCTGTTGCTAACAATGTCCGGCTTGCCGAATGTACTTGCTTATCCTTGTACTGGAGTACCATTATTCACCATATACACACTTTCCAATTCTGTCTGTTTACTATCTAGGAGTCAGACCATGGCTGCACGGAGCAGGTCCACCCACTAGGGGCTGGCCGCCGTGTCCGCCATGAGGATTCCTGCACTAAGCCTTGCCGGCGTTCCCGGCCACCAAGGTACTTCTACTTATGTGTCTCTATAAGATTCCTGCATATGTTTTTGTGCTTTCCACTTAATGCATTGTTAGCTCTATGTTACACTTCTTTTAGGTACTTCCTGCTCCAAAATCAATATACATAGGCATATTTGCTCATGAAACTGCTCTGGTTTTTCTTTTAGAGTTTACTCCCATTTACTTGTGTCGTTCTACAATAATAACAGAATTGATATCGATTAAACTTCTTTGAGTATCTTGAAATTTAATGATTTCCCATGGAATATGAAGTTTGAGAATGACACCTGCTGAGCTGAAAATAATCTAGCGAGCAATAGTATAATGAATAGTTATTACCGTATCGGCATCACATTGCTCATGGGTGAATAACACAACAATAAACTAGAAAAATGGAAATGCTCTGTTTGGTTTGGGTACCATTCAGGAAAGTAGTTAACAGAGATAGACTATTTGACAGTTGCAGAGTGACACCACCACCACATATGAAGCAGAGAGTTTGTAAAGAGACACTAAATAATCATCTGGAGTGAGACACAATTGCTTTCTTGTTTAGTGAAGACGATCTTTTTTGGGGTGTAATATAACTATGGTAGCTCTCTGGAGTGAGAATGCCGAGGCCCTAAAAAACAGCCATCGACACGGAGTTCCTGCCATTAAGGATAAAAAAGCTAGCAGAGAAACAGCTTGGGGAATCACAAGCTTATCTTGCCTTTTGAATGTGCAGCCTGTAACCAGAGAAGCTTGTTCTAATTATCGTATGCTTATTTTCCCCGAGCTGTTTCTCTGCTAGCTATTATTCTCAAGCAACTACCAAACTATGGATAGAAGAAGTCCTAACATGGAGCTATTTCAAAACAAGATGAGGAGAGACTCAAGAATTTAAACAGTAAAATACGAACCTGCACATGATCATATAATGTGCGGATCACAGGCTGGCCAAAGCCTTCTTTCGAGTCTCCTAACATTGCCTGCTTAATTTTCACTACCTGCAAGTACAACTAGCTAGAAATTTCGGTATGCTGCTATGTGCCTTGAGTTTGTAAGTCAAGATCTCTTTGCTTCCAGGAGAGTTTGACCACTCATATCTCTCTTTTTCTTGCCACCTGCACTTAGTAATTTTTTTTCCTATGATATATATTGTATCATTTTGGTTGCTGAATATGATAGTCGTAGCCCGTCAAAATATTATGATAGCCGATTGATTCTTCTTAAAAGGTATATTGACTGTTGCAAAGTTTACCTGGTCTTCTATTTATATTTTCCAGAATACAGTCCTAGAGATGTTGCTTTATTTGAGTTCTGCTTATTGCATTTATTGGAGCACTTGCAATGGGCACATTGAATGTTTAAATGTTCCTCTTGCTGCTGACCACACTACAGTTCATTATATCTCATTGAGACCTTAATCATCTTCCATGTTTATTAGAAGGTAGCATAGTACTGGTTGAACCCGATAGTTACCTGAAACCATTGCTTAACACCGAGCCCCTCTACTTTCTAAAAGGTTTCCATTTTGGTTTACTGAATATTTTTTCCTGCTTGAACTATATCAGTTGGGCAAGTGCTAGAACCCAGGAGCATATGATTTTGCTGCTCATGACATACGCGTCAATATTGCAATCAACTCTGACTGCAATTGTATAGACAAGGGCCTGCATTCTATATGGAAGGTTCGACATTGAAGCTGCTCGCATTGATCTGCAATAGATCTTGACTTCAGCGGAAAACGAGGTATATTGAGCTTAATTTCGCATGGTTACATACAGATAGAACCAGTTGTACAATATATGTTTTTTGTCCTAAAGTACCGCTTCTACTTCTGATTCATGTAATGACTATTCAGTGTATATAGTTCATTCTCTACACCTTTTCTTTTAAAGAAAACACTATTTCTTTGTGTTTATATTTAAGACCTATGTTTTTATTTTAGAGAACACATATGAATTTTTGTTGGACATGAAATGAGCTACCATAACTACTATAATCTATGCATATGGTTTCAGTAGATTTTTTTGGTTTTTTTTTTCGAGATTGACGGGGGCCCAAAAAAACCCACCGCTTGTTATATTCCAACTCGAAGGTGACTTGGCAGTCAGTACAGATACAAGTAAGCGCCCAAAGGCGCAAAAGAAAATTACAGGGGAGAGCAAGAGAAAGCCCAAAACTAGAAGAAAGAAACAAAATGGAGGGGAAGGCTGGCACCAGAACCAAACTGAAACCCCTAGAGACCGACATCTCGGGTGGATTTCACGTGTTGAATTTCACATGGAGCAACTTTGTCCGCGGGTTCTGTACACACTATTTTCATCAGCTTGTGTAGTAGCAACAATATTTTGTGCCACGACATGTAGACGAAACAGAGGGAAAAACTTTGTAGAGATAGAAGTTTCACTATTAAAAACACAATAAAAGTGCCCTATGCTCTTTCATCTGACATAAACCATTTCAGATCATATTTGTCTACCAACCAGCATCTATGAATAGCAGTGGTGATATTATAAGGTGGCGGTATTATATATATATATATATATATATATATATATATATATATATATATATATATATATATATATATATATATATATATTGAGAACTTGGTAGTTAGGGCATGTGGATTACAAATACCACGCCGAGAAAACTTACATGCTCTTGTCATTGCAGGTTTCATGGAGGCAGTGCCTTATTCTACATGATGGGAATTCAACGGCATTTTATTGTTTTGTTCTTAAATACTAGCTGGGTGTGCCGTCTATTCACAGATGAAGTAATCTGAACATCTCTTGCAGACAAAACGCTCGGGGAAAGTTCCCAGCCGTGCACCTGTGACCGCTGAAGAGGCATACTGTTTTAGGAATGCATGACAGACTGGTCGCGAGATTTGTGTCTAGGATGGAATTACATGATATGTCAAAATGGTGGTCTTTATTATGCAATTTAACTGATCTCTTGTTGCACCTCTCCTTTCCAGAAAAACAATTATTTAATTTTTCAAATTTGATCTTCTGTCTGCATAGTTTGCAAGGGAAATGCATCGGTTCAAACCATTTTGGAAAATCTAGGTCGACAACCATATACTAAGTGAACTTACTACCGACTGCATTTCCTGTTAACAGAGTTTATTGTTTGATATTTGGGACTCTTAGTTTCTAAGGATAATTCAACCGAGGCAACACACCCGCATATGCACCTTATAGAGATGAGGGCAACCTTATTTGTTTGTTAGACTTGAATGTAAGTGGAGCGTACTGGCATGTGAAGTAGCTTTTGTCAAGTTTTCCGCCCATTGCAACGCACGAGCATATGTACTAGTATATATATATATATATATATATATATATATATATATATATATATATATATATATATATATATATATATATATATATATAAGAGAATCACTGCTTACGTTGACGTCCGTCCTCTCCTCGTCACCTCGTGGGCTTTTTTCTGCTTCTACTCCAGGCTTTCACCCCTCAAAGAAACTATAGGCTTCGGCCTCCTGCTCTATCTAAGCTCGAACTTAGTCAGTGTACTTGTGTATAGAAAAAGGAAAACGAATCGTGGTCGGTATTGGCATTGTAATTAGGAATAATCCGGTGACATGTCGTGCTGGGCTGGGACTCTCGCCGTAACTAGCGTACGCCCGCACGAGAGCTCATAAGTTACGCACGAGATCGAGACTTATTACATCGTGGGTTGCTCGCGACGTTCTGCTGGGACGAAAAGTTCAACTGGATCGGAATCGCCTCATACTGATGAGCGAGAGCGAGACGGAGACGGCGACGGCGTCGTCGCGTGAACGAGATTGGTCGTCTCTTCCGGCGGACATACTGGTGGAGATTCTGGAGTATTTGCGGTGGTCGAGCCACCCGAGTTTCGGCTTGGTGTGCCGAAGATGGCAATCTGCACGCGCTCTATCGCCCTTCTACCCGGCGTGGATCACTCCTCTCCTCCTCAATGTCGCCGATGTGGGCAGCAGCAACGTGCGGTACTACAGCCCCTTTTACCACAAGAATTTCGAGATCGCCTACAAGCTGAACACGCCAGGCGCCATGATCTGTTGCGCCACCGGACAACACTTGACGCTATGCATGAAGAACCTGGTCCTCACGGCACAACTCCTGACAGGCGACGTCTGCAAGTTGCCACCGATCATACGTGGAAGGTTCGACGCGGTCGTTTATGACGGCAATCGTAGGATGTTTGGTGTCGAGAAGTCGTTCGGTATGCTGCGGATTGCCCGTTGCATCAAAAACAATATGGGCGAGTGGGCGGAATGGGAATACAGGTGGTTTGATCCAGACGGTCCAATGTTTCCCCCGTCGCCAGATTGTAACCCAGTTCTCCACAACGGCTTGATGTACCTATTGGGAGAAGACGGAGGGCTAGCAGTCTATGATGTGAGTAGGCATGATGGAAATTTTGAAATCCTGGACAAGCCCAACAGCTTTGGATTCGAATGCGAAGACAGCTACTTGGTTGAGTCGGACCAACACGAGCTCATGGCTGTCCTTTTTGGGCACCGTGGGACGCCGGTAAATGTTGTCAAGCTCAATGAGCATACAATGGAGTGGGAGAAGATAGAAAACCTAGAGGGGAGATCCCTATTCACCGGAACGTTGTCGACGACAATGAAGGAGACTAACATCAAGTGGATGCAGAACAAGATATTTCTCCCTAGGTTCTATGATTGGCCTCAGACCGTCCTCGTTGACCTTGTACAACGAGACGGTGAATTGGCCTTCGTGCCAAATTCAAGATTCTCAGATGCCACGATAGAGGATAACTATGGCACAGACATATGGACTTACGAATTGGGACAAGGTGAGGAAGCAAAGGAATTTTGGGAAACGGAGAAAGTGAACTATAGTATTTGGGTTGATTTCAGTAGTTATTAAATTTGTACAATGTCGTTCGCAATATTGTGACATGCATTCCTAATGAAATTGTACATGAAACACTATCGCCAGATAACTTTGTCGTAGCATCTTCTTCTTTTTGTATGTTTTTTTAGAACTGTATCTCTTGTTATCACTAGTCATGATGTGGGGAATGATGTAAGGGCAACCAACTACAATATCGCGGACCCAAACGCCACTAAATATCCGGACCGTGCGGTCCGGACATTTTTTTGACATCCAACACCGTGCATCAAGCGTCCACGGCGTGGACTGGGTATCTGAATTTTCCTAAACTGACATCAAACCTGGAGAGCTTTAGGGGAGTCCGAAACATCCACCAGGACCACTTGTTATTTGGATTATATCTCTCCACACCCCACGTGCTTTTTTCCTCTAGGTCCACATGGCACATCTCGTTGCCCGGATTTGATAGTTATATTTGATGTCTACACTAGTGGCTGGGGAGTGCCCTAGGCGCACCTCTTGAGGCGGTCAGGTGCGTTGCTAATTAGGTTGTTGTTCTTGTTCACTCATCAGCACCACAACAATGATGAGCTTTATAAAGTTTTGAAAAACACATATATTCATCAACAATCTATCAACCAGTTTTCTCTAAGATGAATCAATAAAAATGGCACCCTTCCATCCACACATACTCTTCTATGTAGCACCACTTGGAAGTTGCCCAGAATCAAATACTATTATCATCATCAGGACAGCCACACATGGTTGCTCGTGTCCATGTCCCCAACCCTATCAATCATAAAGACAAGGAGAGATGTCAGCAGGTGACCAAAGGGTGCAGAGCCAACAGGAAGACATGTAACTGAGAATGTGTTCTTCTCGTTTATGGTTACAGGTCAATTGGCATTGCTCTCCTCCCTTACGGTTTCATGGTTTTGTATTGCTAATAGAACAAAGCAGGTTGTGTTTATAGATGGTGCACGTGTCAGTTCAGTGGCATGTTCTTATATTTTTAATTTACCATGGCTATGAGCTCTTACAGTACAGAAACAAAGTTTTGGATCAGGCAATGGCATTATGCAACCTTTCCAATTTGCCTACACCTATACAATGAAAACTTTGCAAACTAATCCAAAATGACTTTTTCAGTTCAGAAAGGAATCAATGCAAATCGCGGACAATGGAAATTAACAAGAGCAAAAAGGAGAGCTCACCAAGTCCGCCTTTGTGAATGCCGAGATGCTTTTGTAGCCATTGTTCCACGGCTCATCGCCGTGGCCATTGTAGCTACCGCCGTCAGTACCTGAAAACTCCAAACAAGCTTTAACAACTTAAAATGCTATTAATGTGTGTATATTCCATTCAGGGCGATCTAATATCAATTGCTAGGTGAACTAAGTGGTTTGTCCAAGGCTGGAAGGTGGAAGGTATAAGAATATAAGTGAGTTTAACAATAAAACAAACCAACTAGTCCAAGTATATAAAAAAGCTATAATTTTGCTCAGAGCTACAACAGTATCAAAAAAGAATTCCACTAGACCAGAAATATAAGATAGGATGACATAAAGTTGTGAAGCAACACGGTATAATATTAGAAGAAAAGTAAAAACTGAAACTAAGAAAGAAATATACTTAAGTTAGATCAAACCAAATGCTCCAAAAATCTGACCCGGATATATGTAATTTCTGTCTACAGTGTGTTGTGCATCTGCGGCATACAATGATCATGATAGATGATTATTGGAAACGGTAACAGGCAGAAATCATTGTTATGCTCATTACACCATGTAGCTTCTGGACACTCCAAACAGAGTAACTTACAAAAGGTCGAGAGTGGAATTTCTAGCGGTGCCGGTTTCTACCGGGTAAGTTGGCGCCACCTGATCCTGTGAGGTGATTCAGGATGGATTTCTGGGTATTCAACATTTCGATTTTCCTTTTGCGGGGAACTTTCAAAGATCTTTATTCAACGAATGCATTCCCCGAGTAGTCAGCCAAAAGGCTAGTGATCAGGAAGCTAGGGGTAGTCTCGAGCCAGTTTTCAGTCACATTAAGCGTACTAGCACGCTTAGCACATAGATGTGCAGGACCATTTGCCGCTCTTATTACATGTTGAATTACAAATGATGAAAATCTAATAATGAGCTCTCTAATTTCTGCGAAAATCGGTGCTACAATCAAACGATCGTTGTAGCGATTGTTCCAGAGGTTTACTGCCTCTAGACAGTCAGTCTCCAGGGTCACCTCGGTGAAGCCCCTCAACCTGGCGAAAAGCACACCCTCCTTCATGGCTTGAACCTCGGGGACCAGTGAGTCAGAGACCCCCATGTATGGCTTGCACCAGGCTCCTAAGAAGGTTGAAGTCGATCGGGCCACTCCTACACCCGCAATGTCGTCTCCAAAGTTGATCGAGGCATCCGTGATGATTTTTATGTTGTTTACACCCGTAGAGCGCCAGCCATAGCCTGGCAGTATGGTGGTCTGCTGTTTAGGAAGTTCCAGCAGTGCTAGATCTTCTCGAGTGCGTCTTACCGAGCTCGCTGGGTCGATCTGCACCTGATCATGCGTCCACCTATTGCGAGACATCCGGATGGACCACATAATTGTGATGATTATTGCGCGGTCTTTCTCCGAGAACCGCTGCTCGCATAAAATGTGAAGGAAATATGCCCTAGAGGCAATAATAAAGTTATTATTTATTTCCTCATATCATGATAAATGTTTATTATTCATGCTAGAATTGTATTAACCGGAAACATAATACATGTGTAAATACATAGACAAACATAGTGTCACTAATATGCCTCTACTTGACTAGCTCGTTGATCAAAGATGGTTGAGTTTCCTTGTCATGGACATGAGTTGTCATTTGATTAACGGGGTCACATCATTAGGAGAATGATGTGATTGACTTGACCCATTTCGTTAGCTTAGCACTTGATCGTTTAGTTTACTGCTATTGCTTTATTCATGACTTATACATGTTCCTATGACTATGAGATTATGCAACTCCCGAATACCGGAGGAACACTTTGTGTGCTACCAAAAGTCACAACGTAACTGGGTGATTATAAAGGTGCTCTACAGGTGTCTCCGATGGTGTTCGTAGAGTTGGCATAGATCGAGATTAGGATTTGTCACTCCGATTGTCGGAGAGGTATCTCTGGGCCCTCTCGGTAATGCACATCACTATAAGCCTTGCAAGCAATGTGACTAATGAGTTAGTTGCGGGATGATGCATTATGGAACGAGTAAAGAGACTTGCCGGTAACGAGATTGAGCTAGGTATTGAGATACCGACGATCGAATCTCGGGCAAGTAACATACCGATGACAAAGGGAACAACATATGTTGTTATGCGGTTTGACCGATAAAAATCTTCGTAGAATATGTAGGAACCAATATGAGCATCCAGGTTCCGCTATTGGTTATTGACCGGAGACATGTCTCGGTCGTGTCTACATAGTTCTTGAACCCGTATGGTCCGCACGCTTAAAGTTCTGTGACGATCGGTATTATGAGTTTTTGTGTTTTGATGTACCGAAGGTAGTTCGGAGTCCCGGATATGATCACGGACATGACGATGAGTCTCGAAATGGTCTCGACGTAAGGATCAGTATATTGGACGACTATGTTCGGACACTGGAAGTGTTTTGGGAGGTTTCAGACATATACCGGAGTACCGGGGGGTTACGGAACCCCACAGGGAGTATAATGGGCCTATTGGGCCTTAGTGGAGAAGAGGAGGGGCGGCCAGGGTAGGCCGCGTGCCCCCTCCCCCTCTAGTCCGAATTGGACAAGGAAGGGGGGCCTTTCCTTCCTCCTCTCTCCTTCCCTTCCCCCTTCTCCTACTCCTACTAGGAAAGGAGTCCTACTCCCGGTGGGAGAAGGACTCCCCCTTGGCGCGCCCTCCTCCTTGGCCAGCCGCCTCCCCCCTAGCTCCTTTATATACGGGGGCAGGGGGGCACCCCAAGACACAACAATTGATCATTGATCTATTAGCCGTGTGCGGTGCCCCGTCCACCATAATCCACCTCGGTCATATCGTAGCGGTGCTTAGGCGAAGCCCTGCGTCGGTAAGTTCATCAACACTGTCATCACGCCGTCGTGCTGACGAAGCTCTTCCCCGAAGCTCTACTAGATCATGAGTTCGCGGGACGTCACCGAGCTGAACATGTGCTGGTGCCGTACGTTCGATACCGAGGATCGGTCGATCGTGAATATGTACGACTACATCAACCGCGTTGTCATAACGCTTCCACTCACTGTCTATGAGGGTACGTAGACAACACTCTCCCCTCTCATTGTTATGCATCACCATGATCTTTCATGTGGGTAGGATTTTTTTTGAAATTACTACGTTTCCCAACAGTGGTATCAGAGCCATGTTTATGCATAGATGATATATGCACAAGTAGAACACAAATTGAGTTGGGGGCGATACAAGTCATACTGCTTACCAGTATGTCATGCTTTGGTTCGGCTGTATTATTGGATGAAGTGGCCCGGACCGACATTACGCGTACGCTTACGCGAGACTGGTTCTACCGACGTGCTTTGCACACAAGTGGCTGGCGGGTGTCAGTTTCTCCAACTTTAGTTGAACCGAGTGTGACTAAGCCCGGTTCTTGAGAAGGTTAAAACAACACTAACTTGACGAAATATCGTTGTGGTTTTGATGCGTAGGTAAGAACGGTTCTTGCTCAGCCCGTAGCAGCCACGTAAAACTTGCAACAACAAAGTAGAGGACGTCTAACTTGTTTTTGCAGGGCATGTTGTGATGTGATATGGTCAAGACATGATGCTATATTTATTGTATGAGATGATCATGTTTTGTAACAGAGTTATCGACAACTGGCAGGAGCCATATGGTTGTCGCTTTATTGTATGCAATGCAATCGCCCTGTAATTGCTTTACTTTATCACTAAGCGGTAGCGATAGTCGTAGAAGCAATAGTTGGCGAGACGACAACGATGCTACGATGGAGATCAAGGTGTCACGCCGGTGACGATGGTGATCATGACGGTGCTTT